GCACTACAGCAACTGCTCCTACCTCCTCCTCAGCCCCCTCATCTCCTTCTGGGGCATTCTGCCTCCTGCTGCCCCTGGAGAGGGCTCCAGCCAAGCCAAGGACACGTACTGGGCTGAGGGCTGTGCAGAGCCGCCCGTGCCACATCTCCCCCTGCTGCCAGCTCCCACCAGGACCCTCCAGACGAGCGAGCCCCCCAGCCTTCCACCTAACGCTCCCAGAGGTACCTCACTCTTCAGGGGCAGGGGGCCCGGCACCCAAACGCCTCTTATGAACCCAACCAACAATAAAGGCCAGCTCATCATACAACCTACACGCTATCCAGGAGTCATCTGCTTTGCAGATCCAACAGCTCGAGGGTAATTTTACTTACTGCCCACAATTACCACCCCACGGTGGCATAAACAGTAAATACCTTGAAAATCCCCCCGCTGAGCTGTGATGCAGAAAGCAAGTTTCAGCTTGTGCACCTTCAAAGGATTTACAATATATTCCTTTTTTCTCTTTAATAATGAAGTAATCACAATACCAATCAGAGTATTAATTAGCTATAATGTTGATTTAAGGTTCACAAAAACCCACTACATTTCAATTAGAACACAAGTCTTTTATAAGCAAAAAGGCCCCACTATGGGGGGGGGAAGAAGTCTAAATTTTAATTATTCCTTGAAGAATGGATCAATCACTCCCAAATGAAGTAGTAACTCACAGTTGTATTTTTCTCCACTAAAATAAAAGGCATGGTTAAAATTATTTTTCAAAGCCATTAAACAAGAGGTTGACTGGTCTTTGATTTCCAGTGCTAAGGAAGAAATTTGTAAAATGCGGGGGGAGGGGGAGATACCTGAGAGATGGCCATGGAGACATTTTTCAGGTAAGATATTTTGCAACCACAATAACTTAAAATTGCAATAATAGAAGGAAAACACATCTATATTAAAACTATGCCTAACTTTTAAAAAAATTTGTTAAAAAGACATCTTGTTTAAAAATACTGAGACCCCAAGAACTGATTTTCCCTAACTTCTCCACAAGTGACGTTGTCTCCGTTTGCCTGTAAGAGCAGGGTGCAATGAAAAGGACTAGAAAGCTAACAACAGCCACGGAAATTGTCCGTGGCTCGCTGTAATCGAGGCTGGTGCCCTCGCTGCTCACTGCTGACTCAAGGGGAGGCGAGGCGAGGCAAGGCAAGGCAAGCAGCACGTGGGCCGGGCGGGCTCATGGAGCTGGGCTCTGCCAGCCACAAGGCCAGACACTGCTCTTGAGGAAGCGCAGGGCTGACTCACAAAGCCGAGCCTGGGACAACAAGCCTGTGCTGGAGTCCCCCCCTGACCCGGTGACACATGCCTGCTCACCGCAGAGCGCGGCCAGACTGGAAGGGCATGTCCTCCTGCTGTCTTTGCGTGGCTCAGAGAGCAGTTGCACCTCTGCAAGACAACCAGAGAGCCTTCTCCTTCAGCCTTTCCTTTTAATGACAGTGTTGGGGATTTCATTATTTCAAAATAAATTAATCTGCTGTGACACTGAAGGAGTCCTTCCTTCTTCCCGAGATGCACGTGTGTCGTCTCCACCTTGGAGGAAAAGGAGTGAGGTGGTCAGGGCAAAGAGGGAAAGAGGCAGTGAGTGGGGAAGGAACAAAGGTCTGAAGGCTGGTGCCAGCTGCAGAGATTTTAACTGACAAGAAGCTGTGATTTTCTTCCACGGAAACAAAAGATCTGGGAAGGTCACCAGAGGAAGCTTTTGGCTGTCCTTGTCCACTCCTCCCTCCCTCTGCAAACCTCCTCCGAGGAGAAGTGGTGAGGATTCCGTTTGGGGAAGAAGAACATGAAAAGTTATTTAATGCACTAGGACACGTCACAGGCCCCTGGAAAAGCAGGCGAGGCTCGTGAAGCGGCCCGAAGCACGCCCAGCCCCACAGCCCCTCCACAGACGGGTTTGGGGGGTTCTGCTGCGGGGCCCGACGTGGCCGCTCCCCAGGGCCCGGGGTCTGTGCCGGCCCCTGTGCCGGCG